AAAGTAGCTTACATTTATGGGAGGAGACAGACAACAGATTGCTTGTTTAATATCAGGAAGTTATGAGTACCAAAAAGAAAATGAAATCAGGGCCAAGGGACAGAAAACAGCACGTGCTCTTTGCTCTGGGGTGGTCATGGAGGGCCTCTTTGAGAAACACTGCATCAAGAAGCCTGGGGAGCCAAAGTCCAATAAGGCTTTCTGGAAGCAGGAAACACTCACACTTATATAGAAGTCCTCCAACAAAATTCTGTATCATCTGACTGGAAATCTATGAAATCCCAAAGGCTCTGTTCACATCAGTCATAATTTAAACAAAGGGAAAAAAATCTTGTTTGGAAAATTAACCAAAACGCCTTAGTATGGACAGTCTTTCAAGAACCGCTGCACCATAATCACTATCTAGAACTGAAGAAACATTGACAGCCATACCACACTGAACGTACCCGATCTCATTAGAACTGAAGAAACAAATTCTTGGGGTTTCTTCTATCTTAAAATAATCAAGCAAATCCTACCAAAACTACTTCTGCATCTTTACATAAGTAGTTATCACATCCCACAGATGTACTTACTTATTTATTCATTTATTTTTAGAAGTACTGGGGTTTGAACTCAGGCCCTTGAGCTTGCTAGGCAATCTCTACCACTTGAGCCACAACCCCTGCTCTTTTTGCTTTGGTTATTTCTCAGATAAGGTCTCAAGGCTTTTTCCCAGGCTGGCCTGGGACTATGATCCTCTTATCTATACCTCCCCTCTAGCTGGGATTATAGGCATACACCACCATACCCGGCTCACCTTTAGATTTTAGACACACTGACTTTAAAGACAAAACTATTTATGTTTCTCAATCAAATAGAATAGACATGGTTCACTTTCAAATGTAAAACCTTCACCTAGTCTAGACTAGTGAATTAATCCAAGACAAAAATGGCAGCACTACGGCTTCTCCATCTGTCCAAGTCTAGCTATGCAAGACCAGAGAAAAGTCAAGCAAGTTTTGCAGTCATATAATCACAGGGGATGAGAACTGTGAGGAGTAGAGAGAACACCAAGAAAAACTGCTCCCTTCCCTCAAGTTTTGCTATTAAGGAAAATAAAGCCCAGAGAGATTTTATTTACATTCACACAGGCAGTTTACAAACTTTAAACCCCAGGCTACTAATTTTAATCCAAAGCCTTATGAACATTTTTTTCATTTGTTTGTTTCATTTTTACCAGATAAATGAATGAATAAATTCACAAAGAGCAAGTGTCAAATGACACATCCATCAAAACTGGGAAGTTGCATACTTGCTGGCCTGGATCCGGACTATCCAGGGAATAAGGTAAGTGGGAAAAAAAATGGTCCTTCCCTCCAGCTACTCCTTTTTTTTCTTGAGAGGACACACTTTTGTGTCAAGGTTGGGGGAGGAAGTCTGGGCAGAGCACTGGAGTAACCCCACGGGTCCTGATGAAGACTGAGTTTCCCAATCTTAAAGAACAGAGACAACATCAACGGTATCTTTTTCTCTCTCACATAGGAATGTTTCTGGCCACCTTAAACTGACACATGTTTAACACGGTGAAGCTGGGATTGGGTTGATGGTGCATCTTATACCCGAGGGTGCCTTGCAGGTGAAGACTGAGCCCAACATGGGCCTGGATTCCTTGTTATAGAGGCCCAAGCATAGACTGCCTTCCCTTGGTTCTCCCCTTTGTCAGCCAACGCCAGCTCTTCTCCCATGTCTTTCTAGATCTTGACCTCCTCATTCCCTGGATCTTTCTCATCCTGCAGTTCTGTACCATGTAGCGAAGCATCTTGGGAACCCACACATGTGGGTACAACTGCCGTAGCCCTGGTCCCTTAAAAGCCACTTCTAAAGGAGCAAGAGCACGTAGCTTTGAAAAGGTTTTCTTCCTTTTTTCTTTACTAATAAAGACATCCCACGATACCATGCATCGAAGATCCTGAGTCAGTCAGGAGTAATGGGAAAAATGGCAGAGTGTGGTTGTCAGAGCCTTGGACAAGGACAGACTTGGCTTCAGATCCACTCCTTCCCTTGTAACTGTGCTGTACCTCAGTGCTAATAGTTGATAAATAAGGTTTTGAGTCACAGCAGCTCCTTGGGAGGGCTGTGAAAATGACACCAGGCACAAAGGCCCAGTGCTAGGTGTACACACTGTAAGTGTAAATCTTCATAACTGCACGTGAGGATCGTGGGCAGCGGAAAGACGAACCATCAGCCTGCTTCTCAGATGGCTGCAGAGTGGGATGGAATATGACACTTCAAGGCTTGTGCACCGTGTGCAATGATGACAGCAGAGTAATTGACCTTCCTGTCTCCTTAAACATTGACCATTTCTCTGTGTTGAGAACCTTCAAACTCCTCTCCTCAGTTCTTCTGGTTTTTGTTATAGGTCAGTTGATCTGTATCAGTGGCTTATTAGGTGACATTGCCAAAACTCACGAAAAACTGTGATGGAGTATCAAGACCCATAAGCGACTGAATCAACCACATGCCAATCAGAGACTGTTGCACAGATTCCTATTCTTTACCCATGATTAAAGTGAACTTCAGAATCAGGAAGGTAGGACCACATACCTTACTTTGAAAAGCAACTAGATCCACACTGAAAAGAATGAAAGGCAGTGTGAAGGAAGAGGAGAAAGAACTCAAACAATGAAAACAATAGTGTGGTTCTCTTTTTAAATGTCATGGAAGAAATTACTGTGGCTCTCAGAGGACCCTCAGATTGTTCTTGGGAAAGCAAGTTGCTATTAAAAAGCCTCCCCCTGCTCTTTGGTTTCCTGTCCTGTGATGTGATCTTTCCAATGGCTCCTGCCATTGGGGTGTCCTCTAACATGAGGCCCTCACCAGAGCCGGTGCCATGCCACTTGGGCTCTCAGTCTCCAAAACTGTACACTAATTTAAATTTCTCTCTAAAAAGAAAACTCACCCAGCCTCATTCATTTTGTTATAGCAAGAGAAATGAACTAATACACAGGTCTACTAATAAGAGCAATGGAATTCTTTTCATAAGGAATAATATTTTGCTTACATGAGAGTCAAAGTTAGTAGTGTTCCCTATCATTTAGTCACTGCAAATATTCATCTATTAAAAACTATTCTTGACTTGGAGACTACACAAAAGCAGGCACCAGGCCTGATTAGACCTATGGGTCATAATTTGCAAGTTTCTGATCTGTAGTATTTCTTAACAGGAAATTATTGATAATTGATATTTTGAGTAGAGCATTTCTTATGGAACTGTCCCACACATTATAAGATATCAAGCCCTTCAATATTTAATACAGGAGCATCTCTAGTCAATGTGACAAGAAAAAATGCCCTACCACAGTTTCAGGCTCTACCCACCCAAGAGGATGCACCATCAGCAAGTGGGACTTTCCTCATGCCCAGCTTTTCTGCATCTCCTCTGACCACCCAACTTCCTCTCGATTTCCAAAGAACCTATTATTAACTATTTGTCTCCTAAGTAGTATTAGAAACAAGGATGAAGTTACCAAAAACATATATAAGAAGATTTCTCTCAATCAGATTTCAAGGGAATTCATTCAGATTCCCATGTCTGGAACCTAATGAATAAGTCCTCTAAGGGCTTATGTACGTGAGGAGCCAAAGATTCTTCAGAAACAATGCCACACTGCCAAAGGAGGAAAGAATCAAGACAAAAGCCTTATCCAGGAAACATGGGCCAGTGTTGGGTGAGTTGACAGTTTGTATTTTCATTTATTACTTCCTTCATCAGATAATTATTGTTTTCTCTTTGTGGGCACTGCTGGAGACCATGGAAAGAGGCACATATGAGCCATGAGGCCCCTCATACTGTCATTCTGTCCTCAGTCTGTCACTTAGTTGTCATGCAATTACCTCATCTGTCCAACAAGAAAAGTAGTAGCACATATATCTCAGCTTTTAGGCATAATAATAACAGCTTCTGACACGTAATAATAGCTAATACTCAATTTTGAGTACCTACTATTGTAATAGCTACAACTGTTCTCTGAGCCAGTCTCGTTCATGCCCAAATCCTTAGAAGAAGGGACATAAAGAAAGTGTAGGTTTAAAACCAGTTTAATCCATAAAATGAAAGCTTTGGATACTTGAGTATAAACTGGGACCCATGAGCTCACCAGCACCTATGCTGGAAGTGCTGATGGGGCTGACACACTGTCCACCATCCACACATGTGCCATTGTTGCCAGGAACTCCTGAACATCAGCCTCTTCATGTGGGCAGAAAAAGCCACACAGCAAATGCCACTTCAGGCTAACTCCAGATCCGAAAAGGAGCAAAATCTAGCACCCTACCAGTCAGGAGATGTGTATCTGTGAGCCCCTGGGAACTAACCCTGGGAGATTCTCAGAGAGAGTGAAGGGTGATTGAAGCTCCCAGGCTGTCACAGGATTGTGCAGTGGTCTTATTTTATTCCAGAACTGGTGTGACCTATTATTTTTTTTGTAAATAATATCTGCCATTTACTGAGTGCTAAGCACCTGCAAGCATTGTGTAAAAGTATTGCATCACCTTAGCATTTGCTCGTCACAACTCCTCCCCCTCTCACACACACCTAAATGAGAGCAAACCTAAATGACTTGCCAAAGGCACCATAACTCATACTGTGGAGCCAGGACTCACGCCAAGATCTGTCTACCACAAAGCCCACCCTCTTAACCGTTATGCTACCTTCCTAGTGGGAGCTATCCATGTGCAGACACCCTCCTAACACACCTTGAAAAGCCCATGCCTCAGTGAGGACAATATGAGTGATCCCACTTGAGAAATGTAACAAGAAGGGAACTTACCGTGATTCTTCCTCATGTCCCAACAGTACCCAACAGGATATCCTGGTAATAACTATTTAAAACTATGAGAAATGTTAATCATATATACATGCCTTATGTTTTATTATTTAACAATAGAAATAATGTAAATGAAAGTCAATTTGGTAACCCCAAGATTCTCACATTAAGTCAAAAGCATGAAGGACTTACCTGGAGGATTTTATTGGCTTTTATTACTGGAGCCTCATCATTTACAGACTCAATGGTCACAAAGAGAGTTTGGGGTACACTCTGTTTTCCAAGTTCTGAGCTGTTTGCAAAGATGGTGAAATTGTCCAGAAGCTCCTCACTATCATCATGAACATAGAAAATCAATTCATTTTCCACCTGCAATGACCAAAAACAAAACCACCAATTTGCTGAAATGCAGTTTAAAACTATGAATAAATTGCTATGAAAGAAATCTTAATTTTAAAAATCTCTCTAAAACACAGAAGCATGTCCTCATTCCATGAAGTTTGAGTCTGACAATAAGAGTGCAATTTGTGATGCATGGCATAGTTTTTCTGAAATGATACTGCATCTTAGAAATGAGCTTAGGAGGAACAGAGCAATTGAGCAATGTTATGTCCTGCTGAGAATGCTGGACTGGTGATCAGAAGACCTGAGTTCGAATGCCATTTCTAATACCAAAGTGTGTCAGGAGTGATATAGTCCAGACTTCCTACCAATGGAATGACACAAGCTTTACTTGCTTATTTAGAATGACTCATGTTTGAAATTGCTGGTTGCTTTGTTTGACAATTTAAACTATTAGATTTAGGCTCTGAAACTTCTCCCCTTTGAGACATCTGGACCAGGGCAACTGCTAAGTTCCCCCAATTTTCTCTTTTTGAGCTAAGAATGCATTGTCCCTTTAACTGTTCTTTGTGTATAAGGTCATACTTGCTACCTCCTAATCCTGCTCCTTTTTTCTGTGCATCTCTTAAGCGATGCAACTCATGAGCAATAAGGCATGTATCTCCTATGGACTATCATGAAATATGTTGAAAGAAGTCATTCTGTCAAGGCAGGTCTCCCTCACTGCAATAATCTAAACACAAATATTTTTTATCTGTGTTAGAGTTTATCTTTTTAATCTTAATTCTGAAATGATCATCCAGTGACTCTTAGATTTGTAATAGGCCAAACTTTGATCAGAATGCCTTTCATGTCTTTCAGACCCTGGTGGAAACACTAAAGAACCCAGGATGAAAAATCAGAGACGAAGAGAATTTTAAAACTAGAAGGGAACTTAGCTTCAGTAAATGTGACCCAAACACACCATGACAAAGAACTTCCAAACCCCAAAAGGAGTTGCTGAACTTCTGAAAAACTCTCTGGGTTTGTGTTTGTTTTGATAAAATATAGCCAAAAAGCTTAACAGTTCAACTCCGCCCATTCCTGTGGCATGCTTCCTTTGAGCAAAGTCTTTTGTTCTCTCAGAGGTGTTTCTAGCAAGAGTTGAAAAGTTTATTTAGGGTCTCAAGGGAAAGTGTGGGGCCATTCATACACAGGTGCTATAAGAATTTCTTTGGAGCTCATGGGCAGAGGAATTCCAGATCACAGACTTAAGCACAGGTTCCTAGAACATGCTGTTTTAAGTTATCTGAAAATAAACATGGATGCTGGAAGTGTGGCTCAAGTGGTAGAGCACTAGCCTAGCAAGCTGAGGCCCTGAGTTCAAATACCAGTAACAAAGAAAGAAACATTGAATGTGGCACTGAAAAGAAGATGGAAGATGGGAGAAGTTTTAACTTAAGCCACTTTAGGAACATAGTATTTAAATAGCAGTCATCTCCATGTCTTTTAGCTGGAGAAATACACTATTTCCTCAATGGAAGGACTCTTCCCAAATCACATGTCATTTAAAGGTGTTAATCTGAAGGCCAAAAAAGGCTATGTTGGAGATTTTTCCATTCCTAGTCTTCAAAATCTAGAAAAACATCTGCTGACTTGAATTAAAGGATACAACAAATTTGTAGAAAATTTTGTTAGTTTAAAAGTATTTGACCCCCATCATTAATCCTGCCAAGGGCACATTGTGTGGCTCAGATCCTGCCACCCCACCCCACCCCCATTGCTCTCCACCTCACTCCTCACTTAAGGTCAAAAGTGAAGTCTTGGGCCCTGGCCCACTTGACCTCATTAACCTTACCCACTATGCATGCACCTTCCATAGCTCCTCAGATGAGCCACACATGCTCCACACATGGAGACACTGCAGTTTCTTTTCCCTCTGTCTCAATACTCTTTCCCATATACACTCAGCTCACCCACCCATCACTCCTCCAAGTGTCTGCTCAAAAGCTACCTTCTCCACGGGCTTCCCTAATCACTCTATTAGAAATGGACCCTCAACTCATGAGCACAAATGCACACACCAATAAGGGCCTGAATTTCTCCTAATCTTCACTCAACACACTATTTATTTCACATATTTATTTGTTGTCTCTCCAACCTCCTTCATACCTCCACCTAGGGAAAAGCTCCTTCTCCAAACCATTAGTTTATAAGGATTCATGTCACTGTAAGAGAATGGAGAGCACAGGAGCTATATGGACAGAGACAGTGTGTAATCCCAGCTGTATGGAAGCAGAGATGGAAAGGACTGGGGTTGAAGCAAGGCCAGCTCAAGCAATAAGTCAAGCATGGCATAGGTAGGAGGATGGTGGTCCAAGGCCAGGCAAAACACAAGACCATATCCTATTTGGGGGGGGGGGCGGGGGAAAGGAACCCTCTTACACTGTTGGCGGGAATGTAAACTAGTACAACCACTCTGGAAAAAAATTTGGAGGTTACTTAAAAAGCTAAACATTGATCTACCATTTGATCCAGTAATACCACTCTTGGGGATATACCCAAAAGACTGACACAGGTTACTCCAGAGGCACCTGCACACCCATGTTTATTGTAGCACTATTTACAATACCAAGTTATGGAAACAGCCAAGATGCCTCACTACTGACGAATGGATCAAGAAAATATGGTATCTATACACAATGGAATTTTATGCAGCCATGAAGAAGAACGAAATGTTATCATTCGCTGGTAAATGGATGGAATTGGAGAACATCATTCTGAGTGAGGTTAGCCTGGCCCAAAAGACCAAAAATCATATGTTCTCCCTCATATGCGGATATTAGATCAAGGGCAAACACAACAAGGGAATTGGACTATGAGCACATGATAAAAGCAAGAGCACACAAGGGAGGGGTGAGGATAGGTAAGACACCTAAAAATTAGCTAGCATTTGTTGCCCTTAATGCAGAGAAACTAAAGCAGATACTTTAAAAGCAACTGAGGCCAATAGGAAAAGGGGACCAGGAACTAGAGAAAAGGTGAGATCAAAAAGAATTAACCTAGAAGGTAACACACACGCACAGGAAATTAATGTGAGTCAACTCCCTGTATAGCTATCCTTATCTCAACCAGCAAAAACCCTTGTTCCTTCCTATTATGGCTTATACTCTCTCTACAACAAAATTAGAGATAAGGGCAAAATAGTTTCTGCCAGGTATTGAGGGGGACGGGGGAGAGAGGGAGGGGGCGGAGTGGGTGGTAAGGGAGGGGATGGGGGCAGGGGGGAGAAATGACCCAAGCATTGTATGCACATATGAATAATAAAACAATAAAAAAAAAGACCATATCCTAAAAATAACTAAAGCAATTTAAAACATGGGGAAGAGGGCTGGGTGCATGGTAGGGTACCTAGTATTGGGGAGAAAAGAAGGGAAGGAAGGAAGGGAGGAAGGGAAAGGGGGGAGGGAGGGAAAAAGAAGGCAAGGGAAGGGAAGGAAAAAAGAAAATGAAAGAGACAGTGTGAAGGGGTTATATGGAAAGCAGGAGTGTGTGACCTTGACTCACCAGGAACACATGTATCTCAACACACAAATGTCAACCAACCACTCTTAAATACACACTTCTTATGAAGCATAGCCAACAATTGAATTAGTCAAGAGAGGAACAAAATTCAGTGCTTGCTCTCTCACCTAGAGCACACAGGTGAAAAGAATCCAACTCAACTCACATCAGAGCAGGTGGTTATTGCAGGTGGTCTGACCAGCCTTTGCAAGGGAAACCATGACTAAGAGACCGCTGTACAAGGTCACTAAAGACTCACCCTCCCTGGCCAGGACGTGGAATGTCCTTACCAGCCCTCTGCATCCTTTCTTTCTCCATGGCTTCCTACTAGCACCTGGTTAAGTCTGGTCCCCAAGCAACCTCTGCCAGTTCTCTCCCTGTGGACCTCTCCTCAGCCCCCACATCTCGCTCGCTTTAAAGTCCCCATGCCCTTGGTCAGGCTACTCCCTTTGCTTACACTGCTTCTTTCTGGTTCCTTTTCTGTTAGCCCCTGTTCTTTCTCTCTCTCCTCAAAGTCTAGGTTAAACATTATTCCTTCCTGGTGGCTTCCTATGCTCTTCAAGTAAAGCCAAATGTGCCAGTACTGTGCTCCCACTGTGAAAGGAATGAGAGGTAAGAAGAGAGTACCGTACATTAAAGCTGATGTGCCTGATTTCTCCATGGCATCTTGAGAGCAAGGAATATGTTTTACTTATCATGGTAACTCCACATAGAAACTCAAACAGAATAGCCTTTTGTAAATGGATTAAAATAAACTGATGACTTGAAATTTTTTGTTTTTGTTGTTTGTTTCTTTGTGTTTGTTTGTTTGAGACAGGGTATTCTTATGTAGCCCAAACTGCCTGGAGCTCAAGACCCTCCTGCCTCAGCCTCCTGAGTGCTGGAATCATAGGCTTGCACCACCATGACTGACTAATGACTTAAAATTCTTAGAAGTAAAATGAAGCAGCATACAGACATACTTAGTTGACTAGACAAAGGCACACAAAGACTGAAGGAAGTTGTTAAAGGTTTCCAACCTGAAGAGCATGTATTGCTACATGTTTATGATGGAGGTTTGCAAGCTACTTTTCAAAATTGAAAAAGAAAGTAACAGAACTCATTCTGTTATTCATGATAAGAAAGTAAAGTCTAACAATTACACCATCCTATCCAAAGCAAAAAAACCTGATAGCAGCCGAGAGTTGACCTTGGTTCTTTTATGCTGACTAGCACCCAAATTGGCAGTTGTGACCAGCTCACTGACTGCAAAGGACTAGGCCACTCTGAACACCAATAGCCCTCTGTGGCACAGCATGGAATACACGCTCTATCAGCATCTGTTGCTTGAATGAGGGAACAAATGAAAGAAAACTCTACCAATGTTTAAATATCTGGGTGTTACTCTGAGACAGACAGTGACAATATGGTGCTCATCTAGAATTGGGTAACCAGGGTAGTACAGTAAACTCATGATAATGAAAGCAAAAGTTGGGACTAGGGATGTCTAATCTAAAGAAGAGAAAATTCAAGGGATTTTGATAACCTTTTTCTTTCAACTATTTAAAGATTTTCAAGAAGGGAAGTATGATTTATCCTGTGTGAGACCATAGCCAGAATCTAGAAGTTTCCAAGTAACAGATTTTAGCTCAACCTAAAGAACTAACAGTTGTGTGAGGTTAGCATGGCCCAAAAGACCAAAAATCATATGTTCTCCCTCATATGTGGACATTAGATCAAGGGCAAACACAACAAGGGGATTGGATTTTGGGCACATGATAAAAGTGAGAGCACACAAGGAAGGTATTAGGATAGGTAAGACACCCAAAAAACTAGATAGCATTTGTTGTCCTCAATGCAGAGAAACTAAACAGATACCTTAAAAGCAACTGAGGCCAATATAAGAAGGGGACCAGGAACTAGTCCAGGAACTAGATCAAGAAGAATTAACATAGGAGGTAACACACATGCACAGGAAATCAATGTGAGTCAACCCCCTGTATAGCTATCCTTACCTCAACTAGCAAAAACCCTTGTTCCTTCCTATTATAACAAAATTAGAAATAAGGGCAGAATAGTTTCTGCCAGGTAGTGAGGGGTAAGAGGGGGTAAGGGAAGAGTGGGGGGAAGGGAGGAGAAATGACCCAAACATTGTATGCACATATGAATAAAATAAAAATTTAAAAAATAGAAAAGGAAGACACATCTCAGGAATTAGTAAGTTCACCACCACTGAAGATACTGAAGCAACGTTTGGACACCCTCTGTACAGGGCTGCTGTAGATGGGAAGTTGGACTAGACTACCTTCAAGGTCCTATCACCATCAAAACTCATGGGTCTAAATGGTATAGAGTCAACTTTTTTCCTCTGACACAACATACCCAAATATATTAACTGAGATTTATTACCTGTTTCCTGGTAAATTTCATTAGCTTTATTCTTGGGGAATTAGAACTTTCAACATATCCATGTTTTGGTGGTTCAAGAAGAACAAATTCACAGTCAAGTCCCTCAAAATATTTGCTTGGAATGTTGAGGTAATCTTCCAGAATTGCTCTAGAGCCACCTTCTTGAACTGTGAAATTCTGTACCTCCAGAGGAATCCACTTAGGGATGATATCTAAAAGAATTTCCACTCCACTCACAACTTGGGAGCCATTTGTCACATCTAGGAAGAAGCGATCCTGTCGTTGGTCAGGGGCTGTCTGCACATAAAGGACATTGCCCTCATCGACATCCTGTTGCATAAAACTCAAAGGAGACTTTTCATTTGCACCCACGCTGCTGCCTTCTGGTGTAGATTTCTGGAGGTATCCATGCATTGGTGGAGTTCTGACTATAAACACCGCCTCTGAAGGAATACTGTCTTCACTTCCAACCTGAGTTCACATTGCAACACACAGATACACAAAAAAATGTATTAGTAACTGTAAGGGCCAACAATTCAATGAGCCAAATTGTTTTTCATTAATGTCCACAAATGGCTTCAGTTAAAATCAGGGTTGATGCATTGCTTAAGTCTACGTCTGACCTGGTGCTCCTGCCAGCACATGTTGAATATCAGCCCTGGTCACAAAGAAAAGTAATGATTGACAACACATGAGTAGCTACAAACACAGTAACAAGGCATCAAACACAAAATGTCCTAAGTGAAAGAACAAAGCATAGAAATAACAGTTAAACCACTAAAATTGCAAAACCTTAGAGGAAATTTTTCCCGTTTTAACTAGCTCAGCATTTTCCATACATTTTTAATTTATTGATTCAGCAAAATCCATCTCCAAACTGTGATCGCAACTGATCTTCAGTCACCAGAGCATACATGCCCCCTTGTGGTGAAACTTAGCATATTAACTCTGAAGTTCCAAAAAGAATTGAGAAAAGCTGGTGGGCCCTGTATTCCTTTAGTCATAACTTACTATTTAGTAAGCAGATTCTGATTTGAATTCATTGTTATTTGATTATTATTGGCTGCACTCAGTGAACTTGTTTAAGCCCTGAAGATAGATTCAGAAGAGCCTACATTCATTGCCAATTGTCATCATCACAGCTTGCCCACTCTACACCCTACACAGGATTACCCTAAAAGGAACACCCTAATTCACAGGCCTGTGCCTACTGCAAGTTTCCAAGTAGGAGCCTGAAGAAACCAGGCGGCTCTGATCTCACCCCTGGTATTCCATTGGTTTAGGCCAGTTTTATCCATCAACTTCAAGAAACTAAACAAGGTCGCCTTCAGAACTAAGGAAATAAGCTGTAATACAGTACCTCTATTTTAGGAATCCTTTTTATGTTTGATAAATCACTGCTTCATCATCATGTTACTCAGATCAAATGAAATACTGGCAGTGTTGCTATTAATAATGAACAAATAAAGACCTCTTAATCTGCCATAATTCTTACTTCCCTTCCTTATTCCCAGTTCACACTGCACACAAATGCACATGTGAACCCAGCTTTAAAACAAGGCTGAGAATTGCTCATACTCCATTTCCAACTGCAGGAAATCTTTTCTTCTCAATGGCATCTGTTTTAAAGTCACTCTAATTCAAGGAGAGAACTCAATGCAAAAGATAACCTTCAGAAACAAACAAATGGAGTATTAGAGAGTAAGGATGCCCCAAAACTTAGAATAACACCTACCTGGATCTTTCTTCTACTCAATTTTACTGGTTTTCCTTCTTCAACTATGAAAGTCTTGCTGTGCAGAACCTGGGGGTGATGCTGGTGACCTTCCAAGGACACTCGAATGTAGACCTCCACTTCTAAGGATACATCTTTAACTTGCACTGACAAGTTAAACATGTCAAAGTTGCCAATGCTGTCATGCCTATAAGTCACATGTCTTTGCTTTAGGTCATGCTGGGAAAATGCGTGGGACACAGAATTGTTCACCAGGACTCTGCCATGCTTTGGGGGCTTCACAACACGGAATTTGACCTCGAAGTCTGTTCGGACATCTTGGTTTGTGGTGATGCTCAGGTTGGCTGTTGTGAGGTAGCTATCTTTTCCTCTCTGTACAAGTAGCCCTGTATTATTGGCTATGTAGACATAGGGGTCTGACACACTGACCTCAAAAAGGGACGGTGTGTAATGGACACCATCTGTCACAAACAGCACAAAGCGGGCAGAGTCTGCACCCCAGTGCCTGAAGAGCACACGCCCTTCCTGCAGGTCTTGCTGCCTGAACTGGTAGAGCTTCTGAGTGGGGTCACTGGCTTGTACCAAATCCCCATTTGGGATGCCCCGTCTGATGTAGAGCAACTGCCCATCATCAAAATCTAAGTCAGGGTCATAGTAACAGAGATCTGCCAGGGTCAGTAAGCGCTGGCCACCCCGCACAACATGAAATACCTTATCTACCACACGCACCGGTCTCTCATCATTCTTCAACTCAACCGAAATGGTAACCTTGATTTCTGTAAACAAAGGCTCTGAGTCAAGATCCACTCCATCTTGGCTTGGACCTTTGGCAGAGGCCACAACAAAAAACTCATCCCACTGGGTCTCAGAGTCATCATGAATATACATGAGCCTTTCACCCTCTATGTCTTGATCCATGAATGTAGTGATGCTATCGTTACTTTGCAGAGAATCTGAAAAGCTAATCAATTTCAGCTTCCCATGTTGAGGACTCTTGGTGACTTTATATTGAAAAATCTGATTGTCCAAGGTTTGAACAAATAATTCTGATTTTGTAATTAATTTCCCCTCTCCTTCTTTTACAAGTAATTGTTTGTTTGTTAAAATAATGCGTGTCTTATCTGCCTTAAAGTTTATTCTGAAAGTATACTCTTTTGATTCTATGTGTTTTGCAATAATCAAAAACCTAAAAGTATCCTGTGAGTCTTCCCTTGGCCTCTCCTGAGGTTCATAACTTATCTTAGCGTCTGTAATATCTTTTTGGCTGAATATTGAGTTTTCTTTTAGAACTTTATTGCCAAGTAGCAATTTTCCTTTCTTAGGTGGGGTCAGTAACTTAAAATGTAGGTTCCTTTTGGCCATTTCCACACCCTTTGTTGCAGCCTGCAGGTGATCAGAACTCAACACTTGCTTGTTTCTGTTCTTGATTTCTAGAGGAACATTTTTCAGAAGTATAAACTTCAGCCATCGTATGGCCACAGGAAACACAAGCTCTTTGTTAACTTTTCCTTCTATGTTAACTATAAATTTAAAATGATCAGTAGCATTTTCCTGCTGCACTTCTTTGAATGTACTCTGGTACCGGACCTGACTGTGGTCAATGGAATGCTGAGAAAAGGTACTAACTTGTTTCCATTCTCCATTTGACCCCTGATGCTGAATCTGGCCAAATTGAGGTGGATGAGTGATATCATAGTGAATCTCCATCTCATGTCGTTCACCATTAACTTCCACAGACAAATTACTCTGAGTAATCAGAACGGTGCCGCCTTGTGGTACCACCACACCAGTTCTCTTGGCCACTTCAAAGTCCCAAGGAACAGCCATGATCCGCAACACCACAGTATTGCTAACCAGCTCACCATCACTTGCTCTCAGAACAATCCGAGAGTTTTGATGACCCCTGTGCACATAGAAAATATTGCCATCTCTTAAATTTGTGTGTGTAAAACCATTAATGGCTCTCCCAGGATCATTGCTATTTTCTAAAAACCCAGCATTTGAATTGAAGTTGCCAAGAACTGAGAAACTAAGACTCAAAGAATCTGTGTCTGGATCTGACACCTGTATTATATTTGGGGTCAGTCGTTTCTTAGAGTTCTCAAACAGGAGAAACAAGTTACCTCCCGGGAGTTTAAGGTGCGGGCATCATTCACTGGAATGACATTAATGCTAAACACATATGGGACCTGTTCCTGCAGGTGTAATGGCATTTCCTTCTTGCTACTGGAACACACCAAAAATGTAAAATAATCCGTAGGTTCTTCTGAACCATCATGAACATACCACACTTTTCCTTGCCACAAATCTGCCATAGTGAAAGCCTCCATTTCTTGCTCAGGTGAAACAACCAATTGAAGGAATCCATGAATAGGCCTTTCCTCTATTTTAAATAGTACTTGAGAATAATTGATACTCAAATCTTTAAATTCCACATTCACTTTCATATGCTTTTGTTCCAGTAGGGCTCGTCCACCTTCTTGAACCTCCAAGTTATTCAAAACCAAAAAATAGCTACTTTCATCTGGAAGATAAGGCTTGACAGTCCCAGGGACTGCAGTAGGATGGGGCACTTCTAATGGAAGCAGGCTCATCGCTGCTGGTAGGGAAGGATTTGCATTATCAATACTCTTAGTTTTGCACCCAGCAGAAATATCTTTGGAAACCAGAGCATCCCTTAATGCTCTCTTTTCTGAGTTGGCTTCCAAACCTCTCAAGCACCCTTTCAGAGAGATTCCATGAGCAAATTTCCCAGGCACAGAGGTAAGTCCTAACCTCTTCATTTCTTTCTGTGTTTGATCATCAACACCTCCCAGGAACAGGGGACCTTCAGACACAAATGGTTTGTTTTGCAAAGGTAACAATGTCCTTACCCTTTGTTTATCTACCATGAGGTCCAGATACCTTCCTGTGAATGTAAGTTGAATAACGTGCCATTTGTTGTCACTAACTAAGCTGAAAGAAGACAGCTGAGTTTTATTTTCACTCCTTCCTACATGAGCCTTCAGTAGACCTTCATGTATTTCCAAGGAAACAAAATCTCCTTCCCTACCTGACTGAAATAAAAGCAAGGCATATTGAGTTCCAGTTTGCAAAGAAAATCCCAGTACCCCTTCCCCTTGTGCTTTCCATTCTGGAAATGCGACATAGGATCTAGCGCTAAAGAAATTGATGGCTTCATCCTCCCCAGCAAAAAACTCATCACTGCATCCTAGTGACACTTCATAAACCTTCTTAAAACCAGGGTAAGATCTAAGGACATAAGGATCTCCCTCTGGTTAAATACCACATGGTCCATACATCCACGGAAGTTGGAGATATTTCTATCTAGGTAAGGGACCTTGAGTCCCCCGTGGCCTCCTACATAGATTCCATGATGAAAGTTGAAATTATGCAACCCACCAGCCATTTGGCCAGTTGTCTCATAATGTTTGTCAATAATCAAGACAATATTATCTTTAGCATAGTGTAGTTCCACCAAATGCCAAATCAAATTGTCCACACGAAGTCTTTGCTCAGAAAGGAGAACTTGCTTATCTGTACCCCAACTCACTCTCAGCTGAAAGACAAAGAATCACAATTAATGAACCTCTTAAGGCACTCATCTCGTAGTGTTTCTTTTTTTTTTTATTCATATGTGCATACAAGACTTGGGTCATTTCTCCCCCTGCCTCCACCCCCTCCCTTACCACCCACTCCGCCCCCATCTCATAGTGTTTCATTAAGAAATCGTTCATCCCACCAAAACTCATGCTAAAGTGAATGCAGCAGTGTTAGTTGTTGGGACTTCCAAGAAATAATTAGATTGTTAAGAGGGATTAATGCTTTTTTCATGGGAGTGAGTTCTCTCTCTTGTGGAATTAGATTAGTGACTGCAAGAGTGGGTTATTATAAAGCAGGTTTGGTTTCTTCACCTCTCTCTCTCCTTTCGCTCTCTCTTTTCCTCTCTCACCATGTGCTTCTACATGAAACCCTCATCGGAAGTAAAAAAGATGCCAGCATCATACTCTTAGACACCCAGAACTATAAGCCAAAACAAACCCCATTCCTCTGCAAATTACCCAGTCTTGGGTATTTTGATACAGAAACAGAAAATGAAGTGGGGGTAGAGGGGAAGAGGGTTAGATAGGAACACTCTTCCTACACTTATGGATTATATATTCAAGTCAGAAAATTTTAGAGTCAGGCTATTTAAGACATGTTAACAAAAATGGAGAAGAATCCCATCCTATACAAATGGCACATAACTTTTTTCTAGTGAGATAATAGTAATGAACATGTACAGCTATTTTTCTGTCACACTTTTTCCTTCTAGAAATTGAATGTTTATATATTTTAAGGATTTAAAAAAAAAAAAAACATACCCGTAAGGTTCCTGATAGAAGTTCCATTATACAATAGTCATTTTTCCCAGCTGCAAGGAAAAGTAACCCCTGTGGCTTGCTGGTTTGAAATTTTAATTGAAGAGATAGCTCAGAGGAAACATCTATGGTGTTGAATGCCACATAACTTTCACCATAAAAAGATGCTATGGGAAAGAAAAGGTATAAGTTAGTAAATTTATTATACAATTGACTGTTTCACTTTATATTATCAACCCTTTCATAGACCATCCCTGCTGAAGAAAGCTGCATTGCCCAGAGCCACACTTGTTTCCTAGGGTAGTCCACAGGTCCAACATGGATGTGTAAAAGCTCAGTGTTCTCTCATCCAACTTAGGACAACTCTGAAGTGTCACCTAGACTTTACAACCCTCAGGTGGACAGCCAAGGCTTAAACTAGGACTGAACTGCAACCCAGCTTCTCCATCTAACCAAGTCTTCCTTCTTCTCTTCCACAGGGGTTGACTATAAGAGCTCTCTCTGATAAACCTCTTGTGCTAAGTTCTATCTCAGATTTGGCTTCCCCAGGAACCTAATAGGTATTGCAAGTAGCTTGAGAAAGCAGATGCCAGGATGGGATTTGGAACTGAACCACCCACTACTGAAATGGCTATTAAGACCCCAGCACTCAATATCCTTGATGAACATAGACTAGAAAATCCTCCATAAAATATTTGCAAACAGAACACATTAAAAATATCATATGTCATGATCAAGTAGGTTTCATCCCAGGGACACAAGGATGGTACAATATTTTCAAGTCAAATGTGGAAAGCAGACAGGTATATCAAACAAGCTGTGGGTGTGAGTTTGGCACAGCCCCAAACTGCAGAAGGGAGCAAGCATAGTTATGTCCAATAAATTGCATGCTTGAGTTGGCACAGCCTCAGCTGCAGAAGTGGGCAAGATGCAGCACAGCTGTTTTTACCCTTAATGTTTATGTTCAGAGAGAAGCTGCCACAGCTTCCTCCTGTTCCCGAGGATTACAATGTCATGCTCCTTCTCGCTGAGAACTGCCTCTCCACCTCATGTTGCCACTGTATATAACAAAACTCACTGGGGGTGAAGGGGGCTGGTGTGTCTCCATCCAAGCACTCAGCCTACCTGGCCACAGCTTTATGCATGTTTGATCTTCTGTCTGTTGTCTTTTTCTGCATGTCTCATCACCCTCAGTTAGGTTTATAGGACAAGCTCATGTGGGACATGAGAGCTGGAGCCCAAACAGGGACCTGAGAGTGAGGTGAGGCCTGGATGAGAACTATGGGAGAACTTGAAGCCTGAGATGAGGAGACACTCACTGAGAAACACACATGTAAGAGATAATAAGAAACAAGTAAGGTGTGGAGGGAGAGTGAATCGAATACAGCCAGGTATAAAAATATGGTACAGGATGAGTCTAAGGACCGAGAACTCTAGGCTTTAAAAAACTATGTTAAGAATCATAAGGTAGAAGAATTAAGAATTATAAGGTAGAGAAATTAAGAATTATAAGATAGAGAAATTAAGAATTATGAGGTAGAGAAATTAAGAATTATAAAGTAGAAAAATTAAGAATTAAGACTTAAAATTAAATGGTAGAAGAATTAAGCATTATACAGTAGAAGTGTAAGGTGGAAATTATATGATAGAATACAGTAGAAAAATTATAAGGTAGAAATTATATGGATAGAATATAGTAGAAGACTTCAGTAGAATGTAGAAGTAAAAGATTTCTGTCCCTAGCAGTGGAGCTGGGAAGTGGGACTCACCCCTGAAAGCAGTCATACAGAAGTGTGAGAGGCAGTGGAGACGCTGTGGGCAGTGGAGACGCTGAACCATCAGCCCCACCTTATGAGGATTTAATGTCAGATGAGGAGAGTCAGGAGGGCTCTCTGGCACGTCAAGCACAGGGAACCATGCACTTGGGGATCCCTCCATGGGCCAAGAATTTTCCCTCTCTTGCTAAGAGTCCCCTGCAGGCTGCCTTGCAGGCAGCTCGTAGTCAAGGAAAGGGTACAGCTGGTTTTAAATTTTACCTTATGCTTGAGACACCAGATCCTGCATGACCAGGTCACTGACTGGTGCCAATGGGCCAGGACCTGACTCCCCAAGCAATGTTGGAGGGGAGGAACAGGATTTGCAGAGCATGGGACCACTGCTGGGAACAGGTGGGCCCAAGAGGGACTGAGTCATGGCGGGCACCAGCACAGCCACAGCATCAGACCCACTTCCTAAAAGAGCTCAGCCCTCGCCAGGCCTGGCCCCATTCCACACTGCCACCACAGGAGCACTCTGGCAATTGCTGGTGCAAACCTGCCTCTATCCCTGTTTTGTGAGCCATTTGTGCTCACATTCTAATCTCCCCAGCCCATTTGCTGACAGTAATGTCTGGGCAGATAACCTAGTCTCTGGGCTTGCTTTGGGCTTGCCCACACAAACTGCCACACCCGTAGAAGCTGCCCAACTAAGTCATGCTTTCTACCACCAAAATGTTTCAGCCTTGCATAGGCAATTTATATCTATGCCTCTGCACACACTGGTGAGGCCACTAAGCATGTCTTCACTCATTATTTGGCTATGTGGGTCGAGGGCATGTTTGTGTTTTTCCTGAAGATGCACAACACCAAATGTAGGTACCATCGCAGTCTGTCAAGCCTCATGGACTCCCTGGTCCCGAAGATGAGGAGGCCGAGACTGGAAGACTCGCCCTGGGACAGGGAGCCGCTAAGGCTGACTCCTCCACTGACCAGAGGGTGGCCAAGGAAACAGCCGCTGGCAAGACAGACACGGGACAGTGAGCCACCCACCTGGACATGGTGACAATGGTAACTGGTAGCCTGGGGTTGGCTGGGAATCCCACAGCCACACTGCTGGCGGCATTGGTCATAATCACAGTACAGGTGGGTGTTGTCCAGGGCGATTCACACTGGACTTTCATGCCCAGCCCGCCAATGGTGCATCCTATCACTTGGTAGAGCCGCCCTATATCTATCTTTACCAATGATACAGTGCACATGGGAGGTCATTCCTCAGGACATTTGGTGCCTCGATATAGTGACTATAGCTTCACGGGTAAATCTCATCTTATAGGCTCATGAAAATGAAGCAAAAGGTACTGTAGACTTATGGCTATTAAGACAACAAATATTGGCCATGCAAAAGGCTTGTGATAATGCTGTTTCTCCAGCTACTATTGCAAAAACTGTCCTGGATGAACTCAAGGGTTTCAATCCTTTAAGTTGCTAAAGCACTCCTTCTGGTATTGTTCACCTGTTTTCTTAGTTGGATGCCGCACAATGCAAAGACGACTCCTTGGATTAAGTTACAGGCTTCATCACAAACATTTAAGAAATTAAAAAAGGGGGAAATTAAAAGCGGACAGGTGTATCAAATAAGCTGTGGATTTGAGTTTGGCACAGCTCCAAACTGCAGAAGGGAGCAAGCATAGTTATGCCCAATAAATTGCATGAGCACAGCCTCAGCTGCAGAAACGGGCAAGATGCAATACAGCTGTTTTTTTCCTTTAATGTTTATGTTCAGAGACAAGCTGTCACAGATTCCTCCTGTTCCCAAGGATTACAATGTCACATCCCCTCCCCCGAGAAATGCCTCTCCAACTCGTGTTGCCACCATATATAATAAACTCACTGGAGGTGGAGGGGGCTGGTGTGTCTCCATCCAAGCACCCAGCCTACCTGGCCCCAGCTTTATGCATGTTTGATCTTCTGTCTGTTGTCTTTTTCTGCATCTGCCATCACTCTTAGTTAGGTTTATAGGACAAGCTTGTGTGGGATGTGAGACAATACATAAATCACATCATCATATCAATAGATGCAGAAAAAGCCTTTGAAAAAATTCGACATCCTTTAATAATAAAAAGCTCTAAAGAAATTAGGAATAGAAGGCACATCCATCAACATTATAAAGGTTATATATGACAAACCTATAGCCAACATTATATTTAATGGAGAAAAACTGAAACCATTTTCTCTAAAATCAAGGCAAGAGTGTCCACTCTCTCCACTTGTATTCAACATAGTGCTGGCATTCCCAGCCAGAGCAATAATACAGGACAAAGAAATACAAGAGATTCAAATAGCAAAGGAAGAGATCAAATTGTCCCTATTTGCAGATGATATGATCCAATACCTGAAAGACCCTAAAAACTCTGAAAGCTCATAAACACTTTCTGCAAATGAACAGGATACAAAATCAATACACAAAAGTCAGTAGCAATTCTACATACAAACAATGAACAGTCCAAAAAAGAAATCAGGAAAACAATAATATTCACAAAAGCTTCAAAAAATTAAAATATCCAGGAATAAATTTAATGAAGAAGGTGACTGACCTATACAATGAAAGCTACAAATCACTAAAGAAAGAAATCAATGAAGCCATCAGAAGATGGAAGGACATCCCATGCTTATGGATCAGCAGAATCAGTATTGTGAAAATGTCTATACTACCGAAAGCAATCTGTATGTTCAATGCAATCCCTATCAAAATTCCAATGACATTCTTCACCGAGATAGAAAAGTCAATCTTAAAGTTCATGTGGAAGCAAAAAAGACCTCAAACAGCCAAAGCAATCCTGAGCCAAAAAAGCAACACTGGAGGTATCATAATACCTGACCTGAAACTATACTACAGAGCCACAGTAATAAAAAACAACATGGTAATGTCACAAAAACAGACATGAAGACCAATGGAATAGAATAAAAGACTCTACCTACACAACTACAGCCATCTGATTTTCAACAAAGATGCCCAAAATATGAATTGGAAAAAAAAGATAGCCTCTTCAACAAATAGTGCTGGGAAAACTGAATTTCCACCTGTAGAAGACTAAAACTAGATCCAGTCTCTCATCTTGTATAAGCATCAGTTCAAAGTGGATTAAAGATCTTAGTATAAGTTCTGAAACAGTGAAAAAATAGGGAACACACTGGGCCACGTAGGCATAGGTAAAAACTTCATGAATGGAGCTCCAATAGTTTGGCAATTGAGAGAAAGTATTGACAAATGGGACTACATAAAACTAAAAAGCTTCTACACAGCAAAGGAAATAGTCACCAGACTGAAGAAACAGAATAGAAGAAAATATTTGCCAGCTACACATCTGACAAGGATTAATAACCGTAATATTCAGGGAGCTCAAAAATTA